CAAGTTCTCTACTTTAGCTTAACATACCATAGGCTGAGAATTCTCAGTGAAGTTTTGAACTGTGCAGTTCTTCTGACTCCTCAGAGAAAGAGTATTTTCTCCACTATGTAATTTTACTTGTAAAGACGTTAACACCAAACGTACATTTATCTTTCGATTTTTTCTTTCAACAAATTCAACTCGTCTTTCTTCTTTTACAATGGCGTCTACCTCTGAAACCTCTACTGACTCTTCAAATGATTCTGAAAAACTTTTTTTTGACGATGTCGATAAACACGTAAATTCTTTAAATGAAAAATATCGCGAGAAAACTGTTATTAAAAAAGATACTTATGAAAAAATATTAATCGCATTATTACTCGAAAAAGGTAAGAGCTCTCAAACGCTTTCTGCTAAATTTATTTTCTGGTGTCGTAATAATTTTCTGCTATCGAAAATTGCTGGTATTGATGTTGTCTGTTGTGCTAAGAGTAAGAAACCGATGTATTTGTATGAATCGTTTTATACTGTTATAAGTGAGTCTCATCAAAATATATCACATGTTGGAAGACAGAAAATGCTTGCTGAAATTTCTTCTCAATATTCTTGGATTCCAAAATTCGTCGGTGAAATTTTTCTGAAACATTGTTTTGCTTGTCAAGTGCGTAAACCAGTTAAACAACAGGTTGTTCCCAAACCGATTATTTCATTAGGTGTAATGACCAGATTGCAAATTGATCTAATTGATATGAGAACACGTCCGGATGTTGTATCGAATGATATTGTATACCAATGGATTCTGAATTGTGTTGACCATTTTTCGAAATTCAGTTGGGCGTATCCATTACAAAATAAATCAGCTAGTGAAGTTGTTAAACGTTTGAGAGAGTTGTTTTATGTGTTTGGGCCCCCACGTTTGTTGCATTCTGATAATGGTCGTGAGTTTGTTGCTGATGTTATTCAAGACTTAAAAGTATTGTTTCCTGGTATGGATTTTGTAAGAGGTCGACCACGACATCCTCAGTCACAAGGTTGTGTAGAGAGAGCTAATGGTGTATTGACTGATGCATTAGGGAAATGGTTAACAACAACGAAGTCACTAAATTGGTCGGAAGGTCTTGCACCGGTTGTTTATGGCATTAATACAAGAGTTGCAAGTGCAACAAAATGTACACCTCACGAGCTGATGTTTGGACAAAAGCCAGGATGTGACCAAGAATTCTGGAAGATTGTACAAGAAAGCAATATTGTCGATGAAGAATAATTACCAACACCAGTAGATGATATTATCGCTAATACAGTTTTGGATGATGGACTTGTAACTACAGACGGTGCAATGAACTCAACAATGACTATTGACAATGAAGCTTTTCCACTTTACGATAATACAACAGCAGATGATGTTAACTCACCTTCTCTTCTTGATCAGTCTTCAACATCAGTGTGTGCTGCACCTGTTCTTAATCCACTGTCTGGTGCAAGTGTTTCTTCTTCGAATGATAATCTTATTTCGTTTGATTCGCCAAAATCATCTGCAAAGACTGTTTCGCAGTGTTTATTACCATCAATTCCAGTCTTGCTTTTGGATACTCCTACATTGGTTGTTTCTTCGATTGAATCTAATTCGAAATCTAATAGCTGTGTTAATATTCTGGATGAATTAGATGCTCTTGTAAATTCTCCTGTTAAAACGACTCCACTTTCTTCATTGCCCTTATCAACTGTTGTTGTTGCTTCATCTAATACTATCGAAAATTCAAACTTTGTTCCTGCTTTCATTTCACCACCATTTAATTCTTTACCGTCTGTTGTACAATCTCCACGAAATGAGTCAGTACGTAAACAAGCCACAGAAAATTATCTAGCTACTGCAAATAAGAAGCGTAAATTATATGAGGAACATTTGCAAAAGCTGGCTGAAACACTTAATGTAGGTGATTGCGTTGGTATCAACATTCATGATGTTCATTCAGAATTCTTCATATGCAGACATTTCAATTCTAAGTTTGGCCGGCCAAAAGCGGAATTCCAGTTTTGGCTGGCCAAATTCGGAATCTGGCCGAATTCTAAGTTTGGCCACAACATATATTTATACTTTTTTGTTTGTTGTAAATAAATCAAAGGGACTGGTTTCTTCTTAATATTATCTTTTTCAGACGTATTTAGAAAAGAATAGCTGTCTTGTAATTTCTTTTTCTATAAATAAAGAAAGGTAACTCCAAATAATAGTCAGGAAACTAGCAACAAAATCGAACCTGTGATAAAGAAAGAGGTGACAAGTGATCCTACAGCAACACCTAACCCATTCAAGCGAATCCTGTCATTTCCTTTAGCCGGATCTGGAATTATCCAGAGATTGCCTGCGTCAGGATCCTGAAGTCTAAACCAGCCAAATCCGTCAGGATTCCAGAACAAGGATTCTTGTCGAACCCGACCAGGATTCAGCCTGGATTTTACAGGAACTGGGGAATCCTGAAACTTCCTGTGATATTCGACCTTAAAGATACAGCCGGATCGTATTGGATCCTCAGACAGCATTCATTGACCTGGGAACTTAGGAACAGGAGACACAGACTTTGTAGAATATTACTTGCCTCATGTGCACTTTACTCAGAGCATTCACATGAGACACTTCTCAGGTTACTTATTTATTGTTTCTTTCTGTCACAGTGCCCTTGATCAGTGTTATTCTAAACCTTATATCTCAAGCAAAAGAATGGAATCGAAGAACAAAATAAATGTCAATGGAACTAAAAAATGATTCATAATTTTTCTTTTGTATTATTAAACCAAAACATTTTTTGCGAAAGTTGTATTGAAAACACACATGCAGTATAGCGCAAAAAAAGAGATTTTGCGATAAAAGAGACAAAAAAAGCATGGGCTTTTGCGGGAAAAAATATGGCGCAAGAAAACGCATGTATTATATAGTATTTACTAGTATAGAAAACTTATGGTACTTAAAGTACCATGCGTTTTCTGGCGTTGCGTTAGTTTGACCAGAAAAGTACCAAAAAACACACATTTCTGCAGAAATCTTGAAAAAAAATTGACATGGGGGTGGAACTACTGACCAAGAAAAATAAAGTTAGTTTTCAAAGAAAATCATGCTTTTTGTCAAAGACTCGATTTTTAGATAATTGGATAGATAGTCCAAAATGTCTGCAGGGTTGTGCATAACCTTCTGATAGGGGGAGAGGCGGGGTACAACTCCAACGACAAACGATATAAAAATGAATTATAGTAAACCCCCCCCCATAATAGAAGCCTCCCCCATATTAGAAGCCCCCCCGTATTAGAAGCCCCCTCTGGAGCCATCGATGTGGAAGGTGTATTAGAAGCCCAGGGGCTTCTATTAC